GATGCAGAAACCTCCGAGATTCACAGCGCTGCAGGTATTCTTTCTCCTCCCGTCCCATCCGACTCATATATATTGGGAATTCAGGGGTGATTTGGGTGGATTGTTATTAGCACGTGATTTTCGAGTCTGAATGTACATTGGACGTGCTATCTCATGAAATACTTGCAGAACATCGGAAGTGCGATTTCTATTCGTAAGATAACGTAACTAGGGTTGTGATGCTAATTATCGTGTTGCATACTGGCAAGATGCTCCAGTCACGTCGTGTTGCTTGTTTGCCGACGATCTTTTTATCAGCCGCATTCGTAACTTTTTTTCCAAAACAGCTGACTACTAACTTGTTGGGGTTTGTAAAAGTCCGTAGGCCGACGCTACGTGCCTCACACATTCCTCGTCCACCTTCAATGCGAACTAGACATAAACAGTCTGTGTGAGCCTCATCCCTAAGATCTGTTTAAGAGGTCACAATGTGGCCATCTCGACCATCTTCAGGGTGCTTGACCGGAAAATCTCACCACTTAACAACCACCTAAAATTGTCATGAACACCGGATGGGGCACGCATATGTCAAATTTATTTAAACAAGAAGATGATGCGAAGGGCCGCAGTCACTGTCCTTTCTCTCCTTGCCGATCATTGGATGGCCGTAGTCAGACCCAGGGAATACGGATTGCCCTGGAAGACGGTTTGCCCGTTAGCCTGACTGCTGGCTACCCGGCCCGTCCACAGTTTCCGGATAGTGGAACGGCCTTCACTGACGGTTAGCTGCGAAGTAAGCAGACCGAGGTCGGACAAATATGCAGTCGCCGACCAGCGGCAACATTGCCCCCAGGGTGCGGAGGGCTGAGTTCTTGCATGCTAAAAGCCTCATAAATTAGTCTCAAAGCCCGATGACTGTGGCATGGCAACCGTCGACCACCACTACATAAGTTTGCTTGAGACCGCTGTTTTCTGCATGCGCCTTGAAGCCAAAGCGCCAGATGAGACGAGCTCGAACAAACAATCCAAGCGGCTGTTGGGGACCCGCCTGTACTCAAAATTACCAAGAAACCTCAGGAGATATGTCACACTACAGTACTACGACCAATACCACGACATCCGCGGTAACCGACGAGCTCAGCAACCCCATATCCACTGTTGCGGGCGACTAGTATGTTAGCCAGACTAAACAATCGGGAACGGACTCCTGGTATTGGATGCTGGAATGTTTGAATGTTCCTGGACCCTGGTACCCAAAGTCTGACCGCACACAGCCTTACTCACTACAGGGTAGATGTGTACCGCCTGTCTGAGGTTTGATTTCTTGACTCAGGCTCTCGGTAAATAAAGATCCTTGGAGTCGACTCACACCTCACCCTGTACCACAACGCCCATTGCTATTTTTCTGGTAGACACGGTGCAGATACCCACCTCTCGCAACGAGCGGACCTCGTTTCAATTGCTTGGGAACCAGTCAATGAGTTAACTGCCTAAGTGCGACTGAAGGGTCACCTCACGAACGCCTCTATTGTATTCGTGTATACACCAACTTCAGAACGATAAAGAGGTGACTTATCAACACGTCGGCACCAAATTCGACTTAGAATGATGACAAAAGCGAAATAATGCCCCCAGTAACTGTCACTCCTTCTTTAATCAAGACGAAACACTCCATCGATTGGAGCAGTAAGGTACATTCATGTGATTGACTAGGAATGAGCTATGAAGGACACTTGGCCATATCTATTCAAATAGCGAGATATGCCCTGATTTGGTTTTGCTTGGATGAATGGCTTGAAAATGTGCGCATTAACAAATGACAAAGACATGATCGGATCACCGTGTGATCACCTG